AGGTCCAGGTGAAAGGCTCTTGGCAAAGGACTCCGCGTTGAATCCTTTTCTAGGATGCCCAGTAGTACCCTTATTCCCCTTTTTGTAGTCCTAGGTTCCTTATAAAGTTACCCAATACCAAAAAGAGAGGCCTTTTTATTCTTAGGTTACTGGGTATCCTAGTTTTGCAAGCCGAATTGCAACCCTAAGCCCTAAACCCCGAATCCGAAACCGAATCAAGGCCCGAATCCGGGGTGGTCGGAAACCTGAAACTCTGAACCCTAAACCTTAAAACCCTAAAGCCCAAGACCACGAGCTTCAAAACCGCTAAACCTTAAACTTTAACCCTAAACCCCTATACAAGATATAATTACCTAAACCCCTAAACCCTAAACCCTAAACCTTGAAATCCTAAGCCCATAACCCCAAACCCAAAGCCTGAACTTAACCCTGAGGGCAAGGCTTCAGGTCCACAGTCCAAGAAGCCCAGAGCCCGAAGGAAAGCAAAGAGGCCCAGAGACTCATGGGGTTCCTTTAAAGGGGGTCTCTACCTTTATAGGGATCTGTAGGGGTTGCTTTAAGGGCTCCTATAAGGGGTCTATAGGGTTTTTAGGGTTGAGGAGACTCCAATCTCCCTTAATTCAGGAATGTACACCTTAAAATGTAGTAGGGATCCTATTAGGGATATTGGAATCTCTGGGCGGAGGAGGCGCTGTCCACTGCGCGAGACTCTGAGGCCTTGTTCTTTTCCTGTGGGCGGCGGGGGCTGGGAGGGTCTAGGGTTTTTGGGTTTGGGAGGGGGGAAACGGTGCGGTGCTGAAACTTCGGGTTGTTATGAGAGACTTGTTTTTGTATGATTTTGTTGGGTTTGGGTCCGGGTTTTGTAGGTTGTTGTGGGGTTGGGCTATAGTTCGTTAAGGCCGAGAATGAAATTCGCTAGCAATTATTCAGACCCCGATAGAAGACTGCTGTGGTGCTCATCTGCTTTTCTTTGAGTGCCTTTGCCTGTGTTTTGGCCATCAGAGGTAAAACGATAAACCCTGAACCTTACTTACGTACACCCTGCACCCTCAACTAATCTCTGAGTCCCAATCTAAAGCTCCAGGGCTCATGGCTCTTAGCCAGATCCTGTGGGCACCTTCAAAAGCGCAACAGGAATCAGGAGACCTGACGGACACCGCAGTACTCGTCCTCGTTTTTGCAGCACCACGCAAGAGGAGGAGTAGCTCTAGTAGATGCTGTAGTTCCTGGGTTCCTTTAACGAGGTCTACGAGGGCTCCTATTCGGGCTATCAGACGGACGTAGTGTAGGGGCCAAACAATTACCATAATTACCAACACTATTCTGGGGGTTCTTTAATATATGGCCCCAGAACCCTATTCTAATTATTGTTGCCCCTACAACAGCCGAAGTAGAAGCTGTAGTTATAGCAGTAGAAGCAGAGTGCAGCAGTGGAGGCGTAGAGTTACAGTAAAGTTGCCCTAAACCCTACCTTAACCCCAAATAACCTACCTTCTTAAGGACTTATATAAAGCAATCATACTAGGGAACCTTAAAAAAGGTAGGTAAGGTAGGTTCCTCAGGGTCCAGGAAAACCCTGAAGCCGTATTGCAGCTAAACCCTAAAACCCTAAACCCCCCTAAACCCTAAAATCCTAAACCCCCTAAAACCCCTAAACCCCTAAACCCTAAAATCCTAAACCCCCTAAAACCCCTAAAACCCCTAAGCCCTAAAATCCTAAACCCCCTAAAATCCCTAAAACCCGTAAACCCTAAACCCTGAAGCCTTAATTGCAGGACACTGGCGGCATGGACACCGCTCGGTCGGTGCGGACCTCGATTGAGAAGGGTTTCATGGTGAAACGGTGGCTTCCTTATTGTTGGGGTCCTTATAATAGGGATCCTTATTGGGATCCCCTATTTTCGGAAACCGAAGGGACCCAAAAAGCACATAAGCATAAGCATTTTATGGGGATATTCCTACCTTATTGGGCTTCCTTTTATCGGGGTTTTATTTGGGATATCCCTATCCTAATTTGTGCTTATGTGCTTTTGTGGGGGCCCTATTCATCGTGAAACGGTGGCTTTACCCTAAATCCCGAAACCCCAAGAAACCACAACCCTAAGCCCGAAACCTCAAGCCCCCAAGCCCTAAACCCTAAACCCTTAAGCCCTTAAGCCCTAAACCCTAAACCCTTAAACCCTTCAGCCCTAAACCCCAAAGCCCGAACTATGCCTTGGCCTGAAGTTCAGCCGACGCTCAGGCAAACTCCATGTCGCCAGAGGAGAAGGTCTCGACGACATGGGGGAGATTTTGGTTCAGATCTTCTTATGATCTAGGATGCCCAGTAGTACCCTTATTCCCTTTAAAGGGATCTGCAAGGGTTCCTTAAAGGGATCTATAAGGGTTCTATAAAGGGTTTTAGGGTTTCGGAAAATTAGGGGCTAGGATGCCCAGTAGTACCCTTATTCCCTTTTTGTAGTCTTAGGTTCCTTATAAAGTTACCCAATACCAAAAAGAGAGGCCTTTTTATTCTTAGGTTACTGGGTATCCTAGTCATCCATAGTGGTTGTCAAAATTACTGTCCATTTTGGGTCCTCATTACTATACGGCACCTATTATGTAGGGTACAAAAAGAGACCATAATTTTGACAACTATCCATATGGGCAGTTCTCTAAACGGTTTAGGGTTTAGGGTGGGGGTCCTTGTTATAATGGTGCCGTACTAGTTTGAGGATCTAAAGAGGGACCTTAGTTTGGACAACTACTGTATGCATGCGGGCAGGTAGGTAGCTAGGCAAGTCTGTCACGGTCTGTCTGTCCACCCGTCCGCCTGTCTGTATGCATGCATGAGATATTCTGTATGGGCCTGCCTTTTGGTATGCAGTCCAGAAGCAACGTCATGTGTCTTCTGTGAGCAGAATTCTGCTTGGCTGTCGGGGTTGAGGGGAGAGGTTCCGGAAACCCCAAAACTCAGGATTTAAAGTAAAAGCCAGAAAGTTGGAACATCATTATCGTAACCCCTTCTATGGTAAATTATAGGGTATCCTACCCTGAAACCATATTCCAACTTTCTGGAGTTCCCTGTAGGGTTCAGGGGTTTAAAGAGTTTTGGTCCGAGGACCTGTCAGGAACCCTAAACCACCAAAGCCCTACAGTAAACCCTGAACCCCGAGGGGGGTCCTTCAGTAAGTCTGAAGCCCGAAAGCCCCAAGCCCTAAACCCTGAAGCCATTCATCCCTAAAGCTCTCACACCGAAAGCAACTCTTCCTTTTCCCCAGCAGAGCCCTCATGCAGATTTTCTGGAAGGGTTTAGGGCTTAGGGTTGAGGCAGGGCTCCATAGCGGTTCTGTTGAGGGTTCTTTGGCGGCTGCAGGGCTTTTGTAAGTCTTGGGTTTCAGACAAAGGTCCCTAAACCCTAAACAGCATGCCAGCGCTTTTTCGGAGAAACGGTACAGCTCAATTTATAAAAAAAACCCTAAAGTAGGGCTTTCCCTGCGATGGGGCAGGGTGGGTCGTTGCGACCTGGGGCCTTTTTGTAGCATGTAGGGTTCCGAGTTTAAGGTTCAGTTTGCTGGACGGCGTTTAGAGTGAGATTTGGGGTTGAGGGTTTAGGACCTAGGGTAGGTTATGAACCTGCGGTGGTCGCCGCGCGCTTTGCTGCGCTGGCTCGGAGAACTCACTGACGTGCGTGCGTCGAACAGATCTCGAGATGCTTTGCACACTTTGGCACACTGCACACCGCACTCGTAACGCGACGACCTGCACTTCTGGATTTAAAGACTACAGAGCAGCCGCTAAAGCACCACAGGTTCATCCATGCGACATAAAGTTGTGTGAACTCCTGCTTACAGGACTTTGTGGAACACATGCGTAACGAAAGGGGCTAAGAGACCCAACCATTATAGAGCAGCAGGTTGAAGCACGCAGAGCAGGGCAGCCACGACGAACCCGAGTCCCAACCAGAACTCGGTGTCCAAGCCCTTTCCCTTCTGAAGCCGCCCTTCTCTCCCGCAGACGGATTCTTGAGGAGGCGGCTTGCTACTATTATTACTATGTTACTGCGGTTATTATGTTTACTGTTTTGTTCCTCATGCTTTTTTCTGTTGCTCTTGTGACAACTATATGACTTTTGGGAGCTCACGTTGGAACGTAGACACGGTCTGGGTGTTCTTCTGCGGCCTGGAGTTGGGATGGCACGGCAAATTCTCAGGCTTTTCTGCTGGAGCCTGGGTTTAGGGTTCGACCCCTTCAAATGCTCACACTAGCTCCCGAATTCGCTTCTTTTCGGAGATTTATAGTAAAATGAGCATGTTTAAGGCTCTTGCAGGGATTTCCCTGCCTCATTGGACCTACGTACACTGGGGAGTTCATGTGATGTCCCTATCCAAAGTTGTTTTGCGGGCGTCGTCTCTTTTGCTGCGTAAGCCTGAACCGTAACCCAAACCACAAGCCAGACAACCCGAACCTAATGCTCTACTTGGGGTTCATGGGACTTAGTAAGTGCAGTTATAAGTACACTAACTGGGGTTATATCCAATAATTTTAAGTATAGTTACCTTATTCATAACCAGAGTTACTAAGTCCCATGAATCTTTAAGTGGCCGTTGTGCGCGGTTTCGAGCAAGATCACCCGAGCCTCCGATCGCCTGGCGCCGGCAACTGCGGAAAAAAATCAAGGCGTGTCGCCGAACGCTGTGAAAACGTCAGCACCCCCTACGCCATGCATGTCCATCCATCCATCCTTCCATCTGTCATTCCACACATGCATGCATTCACCCATGCATGCAATCTGTTCAGGCTGTTTAGGTATGTAGTTCTGTCTGTAATTGTATGTCTGCATGCATGCATGTGGGTGGTTGTCAAAATTATGCTCCCTTTTCGGGTCCTTAGTATAATACGGCAACTAATATTCAGGGTACCCAAAAAGGGACCATAATTTTGACAACTACCCATGTCTACACACGAACAGTCTTTCCACCCAAAGCCGGCTTTCAAGCCAAGTGGCAGGTGTGGAAGCGATGGCGGCGCCTTCGACCGAGGGCTTCAACATGGATCCTAAGGCCGCGGCTAGGGCTAGGGTGGGGTTTAGGGTTAAGGGTTTAGGGTTCAGGGTTTAGGGTTTATGGTATGGTTTAGGATTTCTATATTTTGGGGCTGATCGTTTGAAGTTTCTGTGGTCTAGGAGTTTCTTCAGGGAGCTTTCTGGTCTAGGTTTGGGGGTCCAAAGGGCTTGGGGTTAAGGTCAGGGTTTAGGGTTTAGGGTTTAGGGTTTAGGGTTTAGGGTTCAGGGTTTAGGGCTGAGGGCACCTTAAGGTTTTCGGAGTTCTCGCCCATATCGGGGTTCTCAGGTGCTCCGTCTGGATGTAGCGGCCGAGTCACAGCCGAATCTGAATCACATCCGGATTGCGGAGTATCCCAGCGGAATCGCAGCCGAATTGCAGCCGCATCGCAGCCAAAGGTAAGGCACAAACAACTTCCATCTAAACGCCGAATCCGAGATTCCTGATCCTAAACCTAACGACCTAAAGATTCTTTCATCCTAAGCTGTAACGTAGATGCCACAAGCATCGAACACAGAGACCTTTCTGGAAGGTCCCTGATCCGCCAAGCGTCGATCGCGAGTCGATGCTGGCTCAACGTCGGGCTGTCGGCTGGCAGGTGCGAATCTGCCGGGTTTGGGGTTTAGGTTTATGATTGAGGTTTGCCTTCAAAACCCTATAGAGTATGGTTGAGGGTTCCCTTCAAAACCCTATAGAGGTTATATCAGGGGGTTTCAGGGTTTAGGGTAGAGGGTCTTGTCAGGGTTCCTATTTTTAGAGCTTCTATCAGGGGGTTTAGGGTTTCGGGAAGCGACGAGCCAGCAGACCGCCTTCATCTCTACGGGGATCACCAACGTGCATTCAGTGCGACGTCGCACGAATCGTAGGCTGTCTCAAAGCCGCGCGCCCCGGCTCCAAGCTTGCAGCTTTATGCCGAGTTCACCGGTAAAGGTCTTCTATTGCGGTGGGGTTCCTGAATACATGCTTATGTGTGCATATGTATACCTAACAATACATATATATATATATATATATGTACATATATATATATATATATGTGTGTGTACATATATATATATATATATATATACATATATCCACACATACATACGTACATACATACACATCTCTGCACACACACACACACATTCATGCATACATCCATGCCCCCATACATACATATGTACATACGTACATACTCACATACATGGATGCACACATGCATAGATGCGTACATGCATACTGCATCCATGCATACATGAGTCCATGCATACATGCTTACGTGCATGCACATACATACATACATACATACATACATACATACATACATATTTACATACACACACACACACACACACACACCTATACGTACATACATACATGCCTGCATACAAAACATACATATACACACGCGCACATACATACATCAACTACACCCCAAAGCCAAACCCCAATCCTAGTCATTTAGGCTTGTTGGTCCTTCATTCCTACTTGTTCTGAATGTTCGTGACCCATGGATTGCGGCTTCTCGAGCTGAGCAGCAGCCCAAGTGCTGTTTTAGGTTTCAGGGTTAAGAGTTAAGCGTTTAGGGTTTAGTTTAAGGTTGAGAAATGCTATCTTTGTAGCAGAGGAGGTAAGCTTTTTCATTCTCGGGGAATAACAATCCCAGAAAAACATCCCATAGGCTGACCGAAAGAGTTCCTCTAGGATGCTGGACAAGCAAGCTACTGTAGGGGCCTTAATAATTTGACTAGGGTTGTGGGGGTTCCATCTTATAACTATTGTATAGTGTAGCCCCCCCCAAGCCCTATTCTTTCTATCTGTTAAGGCCTCTGCATTAGTTAGAGGTGATATTCCTTGCATTTGGTCTTAGCCTTTTTCGCCATGTCCAAGATGGGCTCTGGGCGAAAACCTCGACAGCCAGCTGCTTGTGTCCAGGAAGGAGCAAAGCTGGCATCGAAACTCTGGCAGCTACCATCTGCAGAAGACATTGCCTTTTCTCCTCGACCTTTGGCGGTTCAGGTGGAGCTTCCACAGCCGAATCATGTCTATATTCAGGAGGCTGATGCAATGCGCTTCAGCTATCCCGAAGTCACCTGGATCCGTGCGGGAAAGCCTGACAAGGTCTGCCTGGGCCCTCGCAGCAGGCGAAGTGACTGGGAGCGATTTCGATCCACTTGCCCTGCAATTCTGGAAGTTGCGGAACAGCTTATTGCCTCCTTTCCTGGTCAGTCGGTGGAGGTGACCTTCGGCGACGTGCTGGACTATCAAGAAGGGCACCTGCTGGGCTGGCACCAGGATAACATGGACCTCCACAGGCAAGGTCCCATGTAGAACCTAAAACCCTGAAGCCCTGAACCCTAAACTGGATTCTTGTTAAGGAATTAAATGTAAGTTACCATAAAAGGCATCTATAGTAAATAATGTGGTTTCCTCATTATGGTGACTTATGTAAATCCCTTAGTAAGAACCCAGAAAACCCCAAAGCCCAGAACCTCCAGAGGCATTTATTCACGGTGGTCCTGACATTGTCAGCCTCGGGGGATGGGCGATGTGAGTGGCGCCAGATCGCCTCAGATGGGAGTCGCCTGGAAGACGTGGTGCTTTCGTCCATGCCCTCCGTCGGCAACTTGGCCATCCATGGGTTGAACCTCGGACATTTGAAAAAAGGAACGGTACTCGTGTTTTCGTGAGCAAGGGCCCTACAACCTGTGGCCTTAATAATTAGACTAGGGTTTTGGGGGGTTCCGCATTATAGTTATAGTATAATATACCCCCAAACCCTATTCTAGCTATTCAGGCCCTTGCATTATTTGGTTTAGCCTGACGCCTTGCTCAGCAGACTCGCAGCCTTAAAGCCCTCAACCGCCCCTTAAGCCTGACGACTCTGCAAGACACAAAGGCCCCACACTCCGAAATCCTAAACCTCCCGACTCGGCCCTAAACCCTAAACCCGGTTAAGGGTTTAGGGATAGGGTTTATGGGCTTAAAGTTTATGGTTGAGGGTTTAGGGTTAAGACGGTTGAGGGTTTAGGGTTAGGGTTTATGGCTTTAAGGTTTATGGTTTAGGGTTTAGGCTAAACCTTAAACCTTACACCTTGCATGGAGAACTGAGGAGCTGCAACAACAAGATGGCCCACCGCGTGTTTTGGGACGATGGGAGAAGACTCCTGCTCGACATTGGGGGACTTACTAAGTCGGTTCTAAGGTTGCAAGTAGACTTATAAGGACCCTAAATGGAGATGCCCCATTTATTACCAGTGTGGGGTAATAAATGGGGCACCTCCATTTAGGGTCCTTATAAGTCTACTTGCAACCTACTTACTAAGTCCCGTGGGCCTCTAAGTAGCTAACCTTCGTCTCCCAATCTCTACCGGAAAGCCTAAATCCTCAAAACCCCGAAGCTCTTAACCCTAATTCCAAACCCCTCCCACCCCCCCGCACCCCCGAAGCAAGGAATAACCCTAAACCCTAAACATACCTACTAGGTATTCCGACTGTAGCAGGGAGGAAAAGGGCCCTCACCAAAAAAACAGAACTAAACCCAGAAGAGCCTCCGCGAAACAAGGAATCGCCCTAAACCCTAAACCTTAAACCCAGAAGAAGCAAGGAATAAACCTAAACCCTAAACCCTAAACCATTTGGTGCAAGCCCGGAACAGGGCAGGCCCGAGACCTTGCTCTGCGGGAGAAAGGCCACTGCATCTTAAAAAAAAAACCCAGAAGAGCCTCCGCGAAACCAGGAATCGCCCTAGTCCTCTTCTGCCGGTCGGCGGAGTTAGAGCTGCTGCTCCGGGAGACCCTCGGGAGAAAGAGAGTTCTAAGGGGTTCCTGGATTTAGTTTTCTTTTTTTGGTTTAGGGTTTAGGGTTCTAGGGATTTTTATGTTTTCCAGGACTTGGGGTTAAGGGGTTTAGGGTCTAGGTTTCGGGTGCAGAGCCTTTTAGATTAGTGAGATGGTTTGTTTCGGGGCTTTGAGGTTCCTTGGAGGGCTCCAGTAATGGGTTTGCAAGTGGTTCGAAGGGGTCTTGAAAGGCTTTTTGGGCTTAGGGTTTGTAGCTGGGGTTCGGGGCAACCCTTCCTCTCTTCCCCTTCCCTCCCTCCCGTCCCTCCCCATCTTCACCCCCAGCAATTTGGCAGGAAGACGGGTTCTTCTTGGGGTCGGTATGGTTTCAACCAAGGAACGGTGCCGAGAGCTGCTTGTCCATGCGTCACTGGTGGACGAAAGACTTCGAATCCACGAAGTGAAGGGGCCCATGGCATTTTAGGCCGTTTAGGGCTGGCAACGTGCAGCATCGCAAAGCCTCAAACCCCAAAGTGAGGGCTCAAGTGTGGGAAGCTCATGGTAGGGACAAGTGACCTCGGGAGCTAAAGGGATGCTGGTTTTGGAGCTGCAGGGGTAGATCCGCTTACTCTAAGGGTGCTCCTACAGGCTTCGACCAGCACTAGTAGCAAGTTCAAGGGCATGCATGCTGCATGGTCTCCATGCAGTTAACGGATTCCGTTCTGTCGATCTCCTGCGAATTCCGCAGGCATCGATGCCAGCGATCTCAGTTTGTGCGAAGTAAAACGATGCAAGGGAACGTTTCAGTTGGATGTAACGCAGAAGTCTAAATAAGCACCAATGTTGTTCCATTGGCTTCCTGAATAGAAGTATTCCATACTAGAATGGTCACGGCGCATACATCAGCCTGATGTTGTTTTTTTCGCAGCCGGGTCGCCCTCCCTGGGTGCCTTGGGTAATGTAGGGACCTGATCAAGAAACCCTGGGCCTATAACCAGAAAATGGTAGGGTTCACAGAAGGAGCCCTAAACAATTAGAAGGGGCTAAGGTTCCTTATGAGGGCTCTATGATATAGGGGGCCTTACTAGTTCGAAGAGGGCTTTGAGTGTAATCAGGAAACCCAAGGCATTCTATGAGCAATTATTCAGGCTTCCATATTATACCACGGCATCCTTTTGCTTCGGGATTTACGGTTGGAGTTTTGGGGTTTGGGGTTCAGGGATTACGGCTGAGGACTTGCATGCGGGAATAATGCTACCGTGTGCCCACACTGCAGCGATTGCAAGCGCTCTACCGTAAGGCCAAAAAACTTCAGACCCGAAGCCCCCCCATTTTATCGTACGTTGGCAACATCGGCTTTTACTGAGTTAGCACAGCCTGGGGGTTATTGCAAGACGAGCTCACTTGCACTGCCTATGTCTATAGAAGTGATTAATGTAGGAACCTGATTAAGAAACCTCGGGCCTTTATCCGATGTCAAAGACCTTGGTAGCTCTGGCCAGAAATGCCCTCTTCGAGCTATTCAGGCCCCTAGATCATAGAGCCCTTATAGGAACCCTTAGCCTTAAGCCCCTTCTAATTCTTAAGGCCCCGATGTTAAAGACCTTTCCCAAGTGGCCCCAGACATGTCTGAAGCCCGCCAGCCTTCCGGCGCCACCGGATTAGGGCTCAGGTGCGAGTGAGCTTTAGGATTTAGGTTTAGGGCCTGGGATTGAGGGTTGTGGGTTGAAGGTTTAGAGGTTCGGAGACTTCATGTTTTGGAAAGAGTTTTGGGTTGAGGGTTACTTATCACCGCCCAAAATCGCCGCAACCTCAATCCCCAAACCCTAAGCCCTAAACACGCTGTAAAACCTTTGAGTGGAAGAGCCCTAGCCCTTCAGCCAGCTAAGAAGTCAATGGAGAAGCTCGAAAAACCACCCTAAAAACATCTTTTCCGAGCTCTAAACCCACCCTGAAGTAAGCGCTGATCCCTAGCCCCTGAACCCGAAAATAGGCCCGAAACCCCCAACTTTATCCCACCTTCGGGGCCCCTTCGAAGGAGCTTAAGCTGGGCGTGGTGAAAAAGTCCATTATCCGACAGATTTGGCTGCCAGGTCTGGGGAGGGGGGGGGGGGTTGGGCAGAGCTTTCCAGGGTTCCATTCCTTTGAAGGTTTACTGTCGGGCATTAAAGGAGCACTTAAAGGAGCCCTTAGAAGCCCAAGCCCTAAATCCTGAAGTTGCGGGTTTTGGGGGTTTGGGGCTTGAAAGGTTCCTTTCAGGCTTCCTTCAGGAGACCAGGCCGCAGGAGAGGGTTTCTCTGGAGTTTGCAGGGGTTTTCCAGGATTTTACAGAGTTGCTGAGCGATTTTTCTCGGGAAGGGTCGAGGAGGGGTTGTTATTTTTCTTGTTTTTTGTTGAATAAATTGTGATAGAACGTTTGCATCAGTTTGATTTAGGGGGGGGCGTATGATACTTATGCCAAAGCGGCTTCGAAGCGGAACTTGTCGTTAGTCTGATTTTTCAGACCGCTACATGAAGTTGTAGAGTTCAGGGTTTCAGGGGGGACCTGCGGCTTGAGACGTTCGGCTTTGTGATGTTCGGCTTTAGGATTCTCACGATTTAGGGTATAGGGTATAGGGTTTTGGGTCTAGGGTTTAGGGTCTAAGGGTCTAACGTTTTTTTTTGGGCCGCGGGCTTAGTCTTTCGACTGGCAGGGCTTAGACGGCCTTGGTTTCGGCGTTCAGAACGAAAAACACTGATTCAGACGGTGGGGCCACGACAGCTGAGGATTTAGGATAGAATGCCGGGGGTTTAAGGGTTTGAGGTTTTTGGCGCTCTACGTGATCAGCTGTTGCGCACGGGAAGCCTCCCAAAAGCCCCAGACCATCAGATCGTAGGTTACTGACAGACAAAAGCCTCCCTGAACCCTAAACCCTAAACCCTAAAGCCTGAACCCTAAATCCTAAACCCTAAACCCTAAATCCTAAACCCTAAATCCTAAATCCTAAAGCCTGAACCCTAAACCCTAAACCCTAAACCCCCCAAACCCGAAACCTTGAAGCCCCGAAGTCGCAGCCAACCAACTCTCGGCCTCTAAAAACACCCTAAACCACAGGGCTAAACTCCGAAACCACTGTTGAACCCCTTACAGAACTCATTTAGAAACTTGAAATCCTCAACCCAAGACCCTCAACGGAACCCTAAACCCGAGACCCTGAAACCCTAACCCTGTCACCCTCAACCCTAAATCCTAAACCCCTTTGTGGAACACCCCTCGAATCCCAACTTCACCCGCTTTCCAGACGAGTGGCTCTCGCAAGACGACAATGAGCCGGCTGCCAAGAAGTCTTAGGTTTGTTTCTGCGCATAAAAACACCTGGGTTTACGGTGCATGGTTAAAAGGGGTCTACAGGGGTTGCTATAAGGGAACCCACAAGGGCTAGAAATAGGGTGGGTTTAGGCTGTGAGGTGTGGGATTTCGGGTTTGTGGTGTAGGGTTAAACGTGGTCTACAGTTTGGGGGGTAGAATGTGGGGGTGTGGTGTTCAGGGCTTTCTGCGCATAAAAACACCAGGGGTCAGGGGTTTCTAATCTTTATTTAGGGAGAGTGGCTCATGAATCACTTACGTCTTAAACCTCAACAACCCCAAAACCCTAAATCCCTAAACCCTATTGACCCCTGTGAACCCCTAAAGCCCCAAACCCTAAATCCCACACCTCACACCCTAAACCCTAAACCCTAAACCCTAAACCCTAAACCCTAAACCCTAAACCCCCAAAACATTACGACCGGTCTATCATCAAACCGACAATGCTTGACGAGGCCGGAGACCTCCACCCGCCATGGCAAGGCGCCCTGCGAATGGCGTGGGGCGGCTTTGTAGGGTCTGGGGTTCCCTTTGAAGGGGTCTACAAAGGGGGTACTTAAGGCTTCCCATAAGGCTACAGGGTTTAGGGCCTTAGGGTTTTGGGTTTGAGGTTTAGGGTTTTGGGGTTCAGGGTTTGGCGGTTTGGGGTTTGGAGTCTCGGGGTTCGGGGTTTTTGGTTTAGGTTCTCGGGTTGTTTAGGGTTTATGCTTTTGGAGTTTAGGGCTTATATAGGTCGAAGCTGACATGAAGCAGGGTTTACAACACGGGGCTTTAATGAGCGTAAATGGGGCCCCTGTTGAATAGATTGGTGAGCTTGCGCGCTAGCTTCTAGCACGGACACTGGTAAACACGATAGTTGACGTGAGACATGCTCTGTGCATCAGCATTCAGTCACTGAGCGGTTTAGGGTTCAGGGTTTAGGGTTTAGGTGTGATAGCTGATGCAGACAGATCAGGGCTCTACACTCAGAGTGCACCGGACTTCGCCGGAAACTTTTTCTAGCCGGTACTTTTCCACGGCTTGTGTAACTTTAGGAACCACGGAATGCTGCAGCAATCTCGCAGTTTTCCTGTTCGGCATTGACTGCCATTGGCTGGCATAAGAATCTGCTGGCTACCAGAACCGAATCTGGGTTGGCTTTCTTCCAGGATGTCATCAAATGTCTGCTGTGTTACCCTAAGGCTCAAAATGGCCCAAAAGCCTCATATTGTATGGTCTTTGGGCCCAAAAGCCTTAATATATGAGTCGTCAGAGCCTCAGGGTTAAGGAGCCACTTGGAAGTCGCACAGATTGCAGGAGACTCGCGCGCAGCGCGGCGGGCCAACTGCAGCCATGAACTCAGCGTTTCCGACGGGGCAAGCGCCTGAACTGTGAGCTTGTTTTCCTTGGTGTTTATATGTATATATATATATATGTATACATATATATATATATATATATAATATTGTATATAGTCGATTATACATATATATATATATATTTATATATATATATATATGTATATATATATATAATATATATATATATATATATATATATATATATATAGATAGGCATATGGCCCTACCGTCAGGTCCCGATGTGTGCCCCCGAGGCAGGATCGCGGTTTCGATGCTGTTTTTTTACCGCTCAGGGGCCCTAGGTCGCTTCGGGTTCGCCGGCATTTGCCTGTGCCTTACACATTTCTCTTAGCATCCCAGAAAGGACATAAGCATAGGGTTTAGGGTTTAGGGTTTAGGGTTTAGGGTTTAGGGGGATATCCCTACCTCATTGGGCTTCATTATAAGGGGCTTTTTATGTGATATCCCTATCCTAGCTTTTGCCTATGTGCTTTGTTGGGGGCCCTACTTGCAGGATCATGGGACTTAGTAAGTAGGGTTATAAGTACCTTGATTGGGGTTATAAGTAATAATAACTGTAGTTACTTTGCTTATAACCCTACTGACTAAGTCCCATGATCCTCCTTCTAGAACCCTTACAGATCCCTTTAAGAAACCCTAGTATAGAACCCTATAGTACGAGTACCCTGAAAAGGAGCCCTAAACCCTACTTACTAAGTCCCATGATCCTTTAAGTAAGCTCGGCCTTCCGGTCTCGGTCTTCTTACCGGGTGCTTAGCGCTTATGTGGGAGTTTCCGAAAATAGGGGACCCTAATATAGTACCCTAAATAAAGTAGGATCCTTATTACAAGGCCCGCAATGATAAGGTACGCCTATTTTTTGGAAACTCCCATGTGAGTGCTTCTTGCATCTAGCATTCGTTTCCATCGCCTGCGTTTCTGAGGTCCATCCGAAGTGGGCAGGGGGCGGCATGCCACAGGCTTGGTTTGCTTGAGAGGGCTTGGGATGGAGAGACTAGGGCCCCGTCACCGACATGTGAGCACAATATGCTCCCAAAACCCTCTTCTAACTATTCAGGCCCCTATATACCTATATTAAGTAACTCGATTTTTTTTTCTTTTTGCGCTTCGACTTGGCCACTCTCGGATGTGGGGTGTTGACTAGGATGCGTTTTAGGGTTCAAGGGTTTAGGGTTTAAGGGTTCAGGGTTTATGGCTGCCCATCTTCACAAACCCCTAATATAGAAGCCCAAACAGAAGTTACTACTATTCCTAAGGCATCGGGTTTCCTTAAAATGTATGGAACAAGCTACTAATACTATTCCTAAGGCTTTTCTGCTTCCTTAATATGGGGGTTTCCGAAAATAGGGGGACCCTAATATAGTACGCTAAACCTATTTTCGGAAACTCCCCCTTGACCATGCGAAACCCTCGGGCTTCGGCTTGCGAATTCACCTGGCGAGGCTGGATTGGCAGCGACTTCCCGCAGCTTTCTTGCAGAACGTCATGGGACTTCCCTGTAGGGTCCGGATTAGGGTTCCTTAAAGGGATCTACAAGGGTTTCTATAGGGTTCCGATAAGGGTACTATAAGGGTTTAGGGTTTAGGTTTAGGGGTTTAGGGGTTTTGGGATTTAGGGGTTTAGGGTTTGGGGTTTGGGGTTTAGGGGTTTAGGGGTTTAGGGTCTTTGGGTTTAGGGCTCAGGGCCAAGAATCCTGGATTTAGGGTCTAGGGAGTTAGGGTTTAGGTTCCTAGGCAATACCAAGAGTCATAAAAAGGAATCATAAACATGTAGGGTTCTTGTACGTCAGCTTAAGAAGGCCTTAAAACCTCAACCCGAAGCCCGAATCCTTATCAAAGCCTCTGAGGTCCTAAACCCTCAACCCGAAATCCCAAACCGAAACCCTGAACCCTAAACAAAAAAAAACGTGTCCTTACATCCAAACTCAAAGGTGCTGCCGGCATCCAGGGCGGAGGTGAGCCAGTCGTCCAGGCCCAGTCTTGCAAGGATGTCCTTGCAGGTCTTGAGCCTTGAGGTTTAAGATTTTGGGTTTAGGGTCTTAGGGCTTAGGGTTTTAGGGTTTAGGGATTTAGGGATTTATAAGGTTTAGGGTTTGGGGGTTTAGGATTTAGGGTTTAGCGTTCAGAAGGGGTCTTGAGTCTTGAGGGGGTCGGGGGGGGTGGTGCAGTTTTTGTTTTGCCTTCCGACGCGGAGGTTGAATGGTCACTTGGAGGGTCGGGGGAGTTAGTAAGTAGGTAGTAAGTAGACTTATAAGTACCCTAAAAGGGACCCTAATTGGGGTTATGGTACTTATAAGTCCCTAATATAACCAGTTACTAAGTCCCCCGACTCTCCAAGCAGTGTTGGGCATGGGGACATGGGGACCGAGGCTCGATTTTTGAGGTGCGTGTTGAACTCCGAAGTTTCAAACGTTCTCTCAAGTTTGACTTGAGTTTAGGGTTGAGGCTTTTGCCTGGAAACTCCAACATCCCTCAATTGAGGAATATACCTCAAATCATATTTGGGATCTTACTATAGTTCGTGGTATATTCCTGAATTAAAGGATATTGGAGTCTCTGGGTGGTTGGGTCGCAGATTCAGACTGGTTTCCTAGCACCACCTCTTCCGACACCAGCGTTATTTAGACGCCTGAATGATTATCAATACTGTTCCTTCGGGTTCCATGTTTCAACTATACTGCCGTACATACCTCGAAGATTTATCCGATCCAATTATTACTGCCGCTTTCTGAAGCCTCATCCACGACCTCAGACATCGAACATCAGCGATCACGCTTGCAATGTGTGGGCCGTGGTAGTTAGAGCACGGTTGCCGAGTATATTCTAGTGTGAGTTATATAGTCGTTTGAGGACAAGGATGGAATGGTATCCGTAGTTTTATGACCACGGCAGTAGGTAGAAGCTCTGGGCCACAGGGTGGTGTCAGACCCAATATGTTCCCAATATTGGTTGTGCATATTTTCCCAATGTTCGGTGATGCCTTGTTGCCAGGCCCAATATTGCCCCCAGTATGTTCCCAATATGTTCCCAATATGTCTTATGTTTGGCACTCCTACCAACTCCAGCCGCTATGACTTGCCGTCCGGGGGTGGGGCTTCGGGGTGTAGGGTTTAAGGTTTAGGGTGGTGGGGTTGAGGCTCGGGTCCAGGGTTGACGGTGGGCGACGTTTTTGGGGCTTGGGCGAGACAGGGGAAAGGGGATCGGGAAGCGCGCGGGGTGGGGTGCAAAGTGCGGGAACACACTGGGAATAGACTGGGACAGACAGGGACTCGGAATATTGGGAAAATATTGGGAAACTCCTGCGTTTCGCCAATATTTTCCCAATATTCGCTCCCAGTGTGCTCCCCAATATTTCCCCAATATTTCTGCCCGGGCGTCGCCCAACCCCAATATTTCTCCAGTATTCGTGCCCTGGCGTCGCCTAGCCCTAATATTTCTCCAATATCTCTTTACGGATTCCAGCCAGGTGTAACACAATCCCCCCACTTTTGGCCACTTGGGCCGACGTAACCTGTCGCTGACTCCTGCAACATGCAGTCCATAAGCTTCTGCCACTCAGAGCCAGCCATCGCTCGCCACTTGCCGCAGCTACAGTGCGTAGTTATTTAGGCCCAGGTTCTTCACCCATGATGCCGTGAAACCCAACACTGCCACTACGCACCGACCAGCCGTCAGGACAGAGCGACCGCAGAGGCAAAGGACGAAGAGGGCGAGCCAGCCTGACCGGTTTACCCTTGCCTGTCTCCGTTTAGAGTTTAGGGCGCGATCCAAATACAGAAAGCGCCATAGCTGAACAGTAATCGTCGTCGTATTAGCAGCAGCATCCTCGTCAGTAGTAGCAGGAAAGACGAGCGGGAGAAGGGAGAGGGAGCAAAGGAGGACTAGGAGTAGGAGTAGGCGCAGGCGCTTCCACGACCTTGCTGTTTGTTGTTTTAGTTGCTGCTGCCTTAGGACGATGATGACGGCGGTGATGATGATAATGTAGTGATGATGACTCTGCTGCTGCTTGCGCTGATGGTTATGGTGATGATGATGATGATGAGGATGATGATGGCGATAGCGATGAAGCGGATGCTGATGCCGATGAAACCGATGATGGGGATGCGGAGTTTGCCACGGGCATGGTGACCACCACGGTAGCGATGATGAATATTGCGACGGCGGCCAAGGGGCAAGAATGATTCCGATTGTGATGATCATAGAATCATAGTGATATTCTTGGCGATAGATGACGGTGATGATGATGTTGATCATGGTGTTCTTTCGACAAGAGTTGATCTATGGTGGTGATGATAACGATGGTGGTTCTTTGGGTGGCGATGATGTTGAAGAATATGAAGAGATTGGACTTCAAAGACAGCGCTTGTGGTGATGGTGCTGGTGTTGGCGCTGGCCGGGCGGTGGCGATGACAACGATCATAATGAGAGCGACTGGGTTGATGATGATGGCATGGATGACGAAGACATACTATAGGGGCCTAAATAATTGCACAATACTATTTTGGGGGGCTCCTTACCACAATTATAGTTTAATGGTCACCAAAACTTATTAAGGCCCGTATAGTATAGTACCTTTATAGATCCTTTATAGTGGCCCCTACAGCGCCCTTGCAAGGAACCCTATTCTAATTATTAAGGCCCCTGCATTAGATGTGATTGGGATATGGCCATGCCGATCGTGGCAGCTTTCATGCTTGCTAGGTCCCTAAACCGCAAACCTTAAGTCCTAACCGTGATTCCTACACCAAAGCCTACCCTTAAACCCCAAACCCCGAAGCCTAACTCTAACCCCTAAGGTAAAAGCCAGAAAGTTGGAATATGATTATCCTAACCCTTCTATGGCAAATTATAGGGTATCCTACCCTGAAACCATATTCCAACTTTCTGGAGTTCCCTTTATAAACCCTAAACCCTAAACCCTATACCCTTATAGAATCCCTATAGATCCCTTTAAAGGGGCCCTTAAGGAGCCCCAGAGCCGTACCTTGAAAGCCGAGTCTTAGCTCTGGGCTGCTGGCATCTCGAGAGTTCAGGAAGCACGAGCTACAAGCGTAGGCTTGTATGGGGGGCTACCAGCAGGGGCTACTGTAATTCAGAGCTTACTATAATAAGTTAGGGCCATGGAATGTACTATAATTTACATTTTGGCGCGATATAGATGTTACTGTAGGGTTTCTTTGAAGTTTGCTGATAATCTACACTATACACCCTATAGAAACCCTGATATAAGGGACCCCTTTTAGGAGCCCTATGAAGGCCCCTGTATCTTGATAACATACAGGCCTTATTAAAATTATAGTAGATATAATGGGCCTCAAAACCCTATTCCAATTCTTAAGGCCCCTATAGTATGGTACCCTTATAGATCCCTTATAGTGGCCCCTATAGCCCCCTTTAAAGGAACCTTATGAAGGCACCTTTTTGTTAGCTTCTTCGCTCACAACCCTAAACCCTAAACCCTCAACTCTAAACCCTAAACCCTAAACCCTAAACTCTAAACCCTAAACCCTAAACCCACGCAGCAGGCACTCCAACTCGCCAGGGGTCGGCGGGAAGCACAGCGACGGAAGTCCCTTGGCAGCCGGAGAGGCGGTCTGGAGCGGGAACCACGGCTGTCCCGTATAATATTCGAGTATATATAACCTATTATGCTTATTAAAATACAAGATTCTATGTTTTAATATATTATCCTGGTACAATGTATCATAGTATGATATCTTTTTAGCTTTATGTACTGTAGTCTCCCATGATTGATCATTAGACGAGGGTGTGGGGGATCTTTCTAGCAGAAGTATTTGAGAGAATGGACTGCCTTGTATGATTCAACCCCCCAAAAGCCTTCAACTCTCCGATGTACCGCGTCATCATAGCACCATGGGACCATGAAGAGAATCAGGCATCATGAGTACCTTTGTACAGGCTTCGGTAAAACAGTCATCATAATGAATCCAAGTGTAGCGGTCTGTGTACGTATAAGTTGTAGCATAATGAGAATCTATGTACAGGTTTCGACAAAGCAAAGACATCATGAACGTTAGTCTGGGTGGGCCAATGTACACCTGGATGAGAAGGGACCAGTTTTGCGAGCTACTACCCGGCGCCACTGCTAGCAATGCTAGTGATAGAGCAATGTGCTACCTAACATGTAATGCATGCTTGGTCAGGACTCGATCTTCTCTTACTTTGAAACTGCTGCTGGTGATGATGATGACTGTGGCGATGATGGTCTGATGGTGGTGATGATGATGATTGTTGTACTGTTGATGTCGTTCATTTTGCTCTTGTTGATGGCGGCAGTGGTGAAGATGATGGCTGAGAGCTCTAGTAGTTTTGATCCTGACCATGACAGAAGCGACTGCTTCAGAATGCGCCTGCCATGACGGTTGACGATGATGATGAGGTTGAGATTCAGACGTTGATGAGGAGAGGATAATGACGCGAACCTGATGCCGATGGTGATGTTGCGACGTCGAAAAAATCTGACCGCGATGGTCGTGTTAGAGATTGTTGTGGCAGTGATAGCGGTATTGGTAGCAGCCATACCCTTGGTAGAAGCCGTGATGGGCCATAATGACGGTGTGATGATAATCAATAGCCTGACTACTTCTCGTTTTGTGTCTGGCGATTTTGATGCTTGTACACATTACGAAGCCTGACAGAGGCCATGTCATTCCTCTCCCCTGTGCAGAAACATCTTATACTGAGCGGCAACAGTTCAGCTGGCTTGCCTGAAACCCCCAGCTTTCAGCACTAATCCTGGATTTGACATGGTCCTAACTCCTAACCCCGGAGCCCATATGAACTCTGACACATGAAAGCACACAGCTTGAGCCTCGGATTTTTGGCCTCTCCTGAGCTTTTCAATGCTTTTCACCTGATCTGAAAGCTGAGGTACCGGTGCCGGGAGCACTAGTACCTTCGACACCAGCAGCAACAGCAGCGACCTGGCTCAGGTTTCACGCTGTCTACTACGGGCCGATTGTGTGAAGCTAGCGTAAGACTGAAGCCCCGAGCCCTAGACCCTCCGCCCCTTGAGCAAAAAGGCCCTAAAGACGTAAAGCACCGGAAACCTTTCACTTGGAGACCCCAAGCGCGAACTGCTAGATCCGCCAGTCTCTCAGCCCCGTTAGCCCTCTGCAGCTTTACTTGGATTTAGGGGGTTTAGGGGTTGAGGGTTCCGGGTTTACAGGGCCTCTGTCCTGACGTTTGCATTTTCCTGGCGGGCCTAGTATAGGTGTCTCAGCAATGCCCACTGCAGAAAGAAGAACCCTCTATAGTCCCTGCAGCCCTCAGGTCCTCACTATACCAGGATGTACCGAAGACGGCATTCTAATCGTGACAAGGGGTTTGGGTTTAGGGTTTAGGCTTTGGCATACCAGGCTACACCGAAGACCCGATTCCAGGCCCCTGTATTAAATCCGAAACGCCCTCACTCTGGAATTCACGGCTTCAGAAGATAGGCAGACCCCCAATCATGGGACCCTTTACTACAGGGGCCCTGAAATAAGGAATCCCTAAACCCTAAACCCCAAAGCCTCTGAACCCTGGAAGCCCTATAAGCCCTTTAGATCCCTTTGAAGGAACCCCCCACTATAAACGCTGTCAGCCCTGATTCCAAGAAATCCAAACGTCTGAGGCAAGGGGAGCGCCAGCACCAAAGACGTGCCGGGGAGCAAGGAGCCGGTGTTTAGGGTTTAGGGGTTTAGGCTTTGAAGGGTTTAGGGTTAGGAGTTTAGGGTTTAGGGGTTTAGGCTTTGAAGGGTTTATTAGGGTTAGGAGTTTAGGGTTCAGGGGCTTAGGGTATAAGCTTCAGGGTCTAGGGTCTAGGCTCCATGTCGGAGAGTGGAAACAGGGCGAAGTCCTTGCTAAGGTTAGGGCATAATACAGAGGGACTCGAAGGGTTTAGGGTTTAGGGTTTAGGGGGCCTTAATAACTAGAATGGGGCGTCTTTAAAGGGGTCTAGAAGGATTACTATAAAGTAAAAGCCAGAAAGTTGGAATATGATTATCCTAATGCCCTTCTATGGTAAATTATAAGGTATCCTACCCTGAAACCATATTCCAACTTTCTGGATTTTACCTTAAACCCTCCACATTGAGATTTCAAGGTCCTCCAGAGACTCCGGAAGATTTAGTCCTCCTCGATCCAGTCCTCCCCCTGCGAAAGCTGAGTGCAGCCTTCTCCGAGTGCACAAACGCGTCTACGGCGGCTCATGCTCCGCTGCCAGACCCGACATTTCACAAATTGCTTGTAGCCGCTTTTCCTCGGATCTTCTCCCACAGACAGCCGTGTGTTCCCCAAACCTCAGACCTTGATCCTAAACCCTAAACCCACAACCCTAAACCTCAGACCTTGGCCCGAAACCCTAAACCCTAAACCCTTAGCCCCAAACCTCCATTTTGGCTCAAGGCCTGAGGTGTCCCTGGGGCGTTGTAGTCATGGCCTCGTCGGGGCGGCTGCAGTTGGGGGTTCGTGAAGCGGCTGCTCGGCCGGTGCCTAGCGATGACGATCCTGAACTTTCTAGCCCCAAGCGGCGTCGAGAGGATGAAGCCAGGGCTATGGAAGCGGACCGAGTCGATCCCTCTCCGATGGTCACCCTTGATATGCGCCAGATGGAGGCACTGCTGCAGGCGCAGTGTCGCCAGATTGTGGCCTCGAATGAAGCTCAGGTGCAGCAGCTCTTCGCCACGTTGGAGAATAAATACGACAAGAAGCTTGCTGATGCGGAAGTTCGCTTCGACAATGTGGAGGAGAGGGTCGGAGGGGTTGAAGCAAGGCTTCAGAAGATCGAAGACCTTCTTCGGCAGGGCAAAGGACCAGGGATTGATGTCTCCCACGACGATGAGGCTCGCAGAAAGCTCACGCTGGTGTTTGGAGGGTGGCAGCCTGACACGCCGCGCCGTACCATCGTTGCAGAAGTGACTGAAGCCCTTGAGAAGCTGGACCTACAGGATCTGACGGATTCGGCTCCGTTCACGACGGGGCCTCGGAGGTCTGTTGCGCTCATGGGGTTCAAGCTTCGAACTGGCGAAGGCCTGGGAGATACGCGCAGGCGGATGCTTAAAGTTATCACTGGTCTTGCTGACTCCCAGCCTCTCACATCACATGGGAAGAAGATGTGGTGCAGCTACTCGCGCACAAAAGCCGAGCGTGATGTGAGTGGGCATGCATCGTGGGTCAAGAGGGCAATCAATCTCCTTGAGCAGGGTCTGTCATCCTCACTCGACATTGAGTTTTCGACGGGCACGGTTTGGTGTGGGGATTCGATGGTTGCGAGCGCCACCAAAGCTCCCCCAGTTGTGGTGCAGGAGTCCGATGTGATGTGGGATGATAGGCTTGTGACCAATCCATGGATCCACGTGGCTGCACTTGCCAGGGAAACTCGCAAGGATGTGGCTCACCTTGAAAGCACTGGAGGACTCGAAACGCTGACCTCTGGAAGTGTCGTTTGAAGCTCTACAAAACCTTGCTACGCAGACTGCGGAAAAGCCTTGTACAGTTCCGGCCGCTTCTCCTGCCGAACCCTTGCTAGATGTGCACGTCCTCGGGTGGAACTTAGGAGGAGCTCCATTGGATGACCTGCCCAGAGCACTGCATGACAGTACTCACTCTCCGCTGGGTGAAAGGATCTGCTTGCTTCAAGAGTGTCCTCGTCTGGATAAGGGTTGGAAGACCACTCAGGTCCAAGGGTTCTCGGTGCTACAGTTTCGGTCTGAAGTGCAGTGGCGAGGGGTAGGGGTTATCTATGACCCTAGGGTCTGGGCCGTGATCTCCCGCAAGTACTCGCCTCGAGGGATTTGGGTCAAATTTAAACACCTGAGCAGCTCACAATTGCTTTGGGCGGGCACCCTTTACCTGCCGCCAGGACTTACACAGGCCGACTTCCAGTCAGGGTGTCAAGGGTTCCTTTCTGCATTGCCACGGGGGTCGTCTCGAGCAGTTTTTTCTGCGGATGCTAATGCTTCCTACTCTTGGACCACGGGACAAGCAGGGGATATTCCTTTTGGGCACGATGGCAAAGGGGTGCTCCTTTTCGATTCTTTATTTCAGCAGGGCTTCCACACCTTTGCGCCTTCGAGACCCCAGCAAGGGCTATGGACCAGCCGCCCTAGACAGGAAGGGAAGCAGGGCAGCCGCATTGATCTTCTTGCAGCCAAGGGACTCACTCACAAGGGTCTACGAATACACGTTGACAGCTTTCGCACGCTTGGGACGGATCATGAGCTACTGGAGGCATCTGGGTTTATTCGGGGTGCAAGGCTTTTTCAGCGCCCCCCCACTTGTCCGAGGGTCTGGACCGGAGGCCCCACACAAATAGACCGCCTTGATGGGGACACCCTTGCTGAATATGCCCGCACTTGTACAAGGCCGAAACCCAGCGAAGCTTACCGTGACTCTCCGGCAACCAAACAGGCCTTCAGGAGAGCAAAGCTCCAGCGAACCAAAAAATCTTGGAAAGCGGCCTCAACGCAAGGCGAGCAGACAGGAAACAATGGGAACAAGCCCGACTGGCCAAGGCTTCACAGTGTGATTGGGCATCCTTTCGAAGGGTCAGGGCTGAAGGGCAGGGATCTTGGCCGGATTGCTTCGCGGCAGCCCAAGCTACCGATCCGCATGAGGTTGTTGATGATCACTTCAAGGCTATCTACAAGGCAGACCCTCAACAACGAACTGTTTTCCCTGAGGGCGATGTGGTGGGGTTCTCGGTTGAGGAAATCCGCAAAGGGATCTTTCAGATGAAGAAGGGCAAGTCAGTGGGGGTTGACCTTACTTCCCGTGAGCTCTTCGAAGGGCTACTTGAGACTCCTGGTGGCGCCAGCCACCTTGCGGAATTCTTCACATCCATCTTGGTTTCCCAGCAGGTGCCGAAGGACTGGAATAAATCTATTCTTATAGTCCTGGCGAAAGTTCCTCAGCCGCTGGCGCCTCGTGACCTTAGGCCTATTGCACTTGGAAGCGCCACATCCAAGCTTTTTGCCAGGCTCCTCTTGAATAGATGCCTTCCGAAATTGGGCCCCAAATCACCCTATCAGTGTGCCAGAGAGCACCGACAAAGTAACGACTACGTCTTCTCGCTTTGGAGGATATTCGAGCTATGCAGAGAGTGGAACAAACCACTCACATGTGTGAAGATTGATATCCACAAAGCTTTTGATAGTGTGGATCGGGGGGCCTTGATACGGAAACTGAGATCGAGGTTGGGATCAACAGCAGAAATGGCCTGTTTCGAACAGCTGCTTCTTGACACAACGGCCCTCTTGGTTACTCCGTGGGGAATGTCTGAATTTCGAATGGATTCGGGGATAAAGCAGGGAGCGGTTGAAAGCCCGTGCTTTTTCAGTCTGCTTATGGAAGAAGGGTTGGAAGAAGCGGCCGAACTCCACAGGTGGTCTGAACAGCCTCTCCTTTTCCCGGACCTTGTATATGAATCAGCTCTCTTCATGGATGACGGCATCTTGTGGGGAAGTTCGCCCTCGATCGTTGCACGCAAACTGGAGCAATTTCTTGGGGTTCTCAAGGGATACGGCCTGCACTTGAATGTGCAGAAGTGCCAGTTATACTGCAGCAAGGATACAGCTTCTCCACACTCCATTCGGGTACAGGAACACACGCTTGTGGCGCACGAATCCTTGGAGATTATGGGGTTGCAACTCAGGAAAGGGATGTCCATGTGCGAACTGCTGCAGCCCTTGATCTCCCGGGCCAAACAGAAGTTCTGGAGCCTTAAGCACTTACTCAGGTGTAAGACCCCAATCAGGGGCAGGGTTCATCTCTTCCAACGTGTGGTTGCAGGCACGGCACTTTGGTGCATCTCAGCACTGCCGCCGGACAAAGCCTCAATGGGGCTACTCAACAGCATCCAGGCCATGTTGCTGGGGTGGATGATGCGTCTGTATAGGGCAGAAGGGGAAACGTGGATCCAGTTCAGACAAAGGGTTATCCGTTCGGCGAGGTCACTCTTGCATTCTTCCGGGTGCCTGCGTTGGAGCACATTGTGGTTGCAACGTTGGTGGGATTACAGTGGCCATCGAGTGCGTGGCCTGCTACACCCCCAGCCACCCCTTAGTGCTTATGTGGACGAATTCAGGAGTTTATCATGGTGGCGACATACACAGAAGCTTAAGTCAGGGCCGAGGCATGGGCACCATTATGCTCGCTTGACAGCGCTAGAAGAAGGGATGAACAGGGTTTGCCAGGGACCGTGGAGGGGTGCAGTGCATGATCGAGGGAAGTGGAGGTCTCTTCGGGCTTGTTGGATTGATCAAAACGATCTCCCTTGGGCCTCGGGACGTCAGCTTGCTTTGCCGGATTGGAGTTAGAGAACGTCTTGCTTGCCAGGGCTAGGGTCAGGGTTGGCAAAGGGCTACGGCTGCTGTGAATGACGACTCGCTCTGACAACAGCGAGGCCATTGGCTCAGATTGCTATCAGCACTCTACGACACTCCTCGGCGAGGCATGGTCTCCGCCTTCGCGATGTTTGCAGGCCTTGTGCCCGGAGGGATTTGGCTTCTCTACGTGTGTGGTACTACACATGTGCCGGAACACACTCGATTCATATCCAACGAAACTTTGTCTTCAATGACTCGAACCATGGACATCGGGGCACTGACCCTTGCCTTGCAATACCGGAGCCTCCCGACGGTGGGCCTCGGGGTTTGCTGGGCTGGCCTTGTGCCCGCAGCGACAGCACAGCCGATTGATGCTCTGGGACACCGGCCACCATACTGGTATGTCTCTGCAATGGACATGATCCGCATGCTCCTTGATGATGGGCACTCGCCCCGCCTAATGGTGACAATGCTCCGGCAGCTCGTGCAAGCCCGGCAGGACTCCCACTACACCACAAACAGTGAGCTGCTTATCCAGGACTTTGCACAGTTCATTGGGGTACCAGGAGAGGGCTATGATGGATGGATCCCCCTGGAAGGCTACTCTGCGCAGTGGGCCCGCTATGTGGAGGAGAATTGGCACGAGGAGTACATGGAACAATGGTTTCCCATGGAATCCTTGGCTCTGGAACGCCTTGGGCAGGACACCTCCACTCTGCTCACGCCCCTTCCGCCCACTGCTGGCGCTACTGATGTCCGAGAAGTGAGACGACAGGAGTTCAACAGGAAGCGCACCTTACCTGCTGATACAGCGCTCCTGCACGGCCTCACTCCGGATGGACCAGCTGTTCCGCTCACGGAATGGAGCGCCCAGGAACCCCGGGATGAAGGCTCGATCCTGAAAGCCCAATGGGTGGAGGCAGCACTCAGTTTTCTCTTCCGAGCGCGCCCGGAAGGTCACCATGAATGGGCCCTTACACAGCTCCGTACAAGGATCCGAGGCCGTGCTAACCAGGACTATGTCAGAACAGCCCTTGAGTATGTGGACGAGCTCGAGCTCATTGCTGGTGGCCAATTCACGGAGTCGGAGGCACCGGAGTATGTGGTGGACTGGGCCCTCCTGTCCGAGCGAGAGCTCTACCGTCATCTCACGGCCATCGCCACGGCGGCCCCGGCATCCTCGTCCGTGGTTCCCGCTTGCGATGCTTCGGCCCTGGTGCAAACAAGTGTGAACAAAAGATGGTTGAAGACCTCGGCACCAAGAAGGCGAAGATCCAAGGGCACGAGCAAAGGGGGTGCCTCCGGCCCGAGCAGACCGACCCGCACGGGGGCGGCACGTGAGACGTCCGAAACCCTCCGCCTCACCGAGCGGGTTCCCCTCAGCCGGAGTGGCCGTGGCAATCCAGCCTGCCCCGCGGTTCGAGAGCCAAGCACTCCGCCAACAAGGCTCACGATCGAAGGTGCGGTGGACATTTGGGCCATGATGCTTGGCCTAGCCACAGAGGAGGATGTGGAGCGACGTCCGGGTGAGGTGCTCGGAACTTTCCCTCGTGAGACGATCCCAGAGACAGTCCTCAGCCACAGCCCCGCCGACCGACTTACGCTCATCCTGGCCTTTCAACGGGTGCTGGCCAAGCTCCTGAATGCAGTGGGTGCTTTGGTGGAGCAAACACTGGTCAGGGAACGTGAGCGCTTGGCTGAAAACCGCAGAGACAGCGACCGCCGGAATGATGAAGAGGATGGTGCATCAATGATGCAATTGGGCCTAATTACCACGGATGCTGAGTTCGCCTCCTTCCTCCATGATTTCCACTCTGCCTTTGAACAGATGTCAAAGGCGGCCAGATATGCTAATGCGAGGATCATTTGGAGGTGGATGGACTGGGCCTTCACGGATTCTGCTTCGGGGCGTTGTTTGGGCCATATGGGGGGCCGAACAGCTCAGATTTTGGCAGTGATTGTGGCGGCCATGGACTCAGCGCATGAGGTCGAGATGCCACATACCGAGTCGAACCCGGTGTGGTGCAGCGCCTGGTGGACGCGCATCTGTCTTTTCGAGCCTACTCACCCTGGCTCAAGGAAAGGCAGGGGGCTGGGACAACAGGTGGATGATCCAGCACCTGTGCTCTTCATGAAAGCGCTCCCTGAGGACTCAGACGACTGCAGTGAGATTCCAGGTGCAGTTGGAATCCCAGCCAGGGCCTACCGCACAAATAGGCTGAGTGAAAGGGATGTGGATGCTCTGGTGGAGGAGCACCGCCTCGACATGCAAGGGGAGTCTGACCAGATGGCAGCAGAGGCAGCCATGCAGGCGGAGATGGACGAGGCATTGGAGGAGGAGGAGAACAGCGAAGCCATGGCTCTAGCCGACGACTACCTTCTCGAACAAGGACTCCTGCATGAGCTCTCCCCAGTTGCATACCGGGCATGGGAGCAAAGGGTGGTACAAAGGGTTATGCGACGTGGATATGGGCCCTATGAGAGGGGAACACAGTGGCTGGAAGTCGAACTGGCCTCTGGCAGTGGTGACGCCCCTCGCACGAGCCATGTCCATCGCTTCCCACTTCCGAGGGATGGTCAAGTATTCCACCTGACTGCCCGGGTGACACGTGGACCTCTGCAGGGCGCTCTGCCAACACAACCGGCGGACTGCCCGCCTACGGAGCCTCGCGTGGAGCCAGCTGGTCCGGCTGCAACTCAGGCCGACGAGGGAGGTACAGGCTTCTCGGAAGCGAGTACCGTCTTGGTGCCACCAGTGGATGGAGGGCAAAATGCTGGCGCCGATATGACTCTCCCAGTGACTGCTGAGGGTTCCGAAGGGTGTGATGTGACCAGGGATGAAGGGGAAAGGTCAGCATGCAAAGGGGAAGCAATGAAGCCCAGCGATGAGTCCGTCCACTACCAGGCTGCTTCCTTGAGTATGCCCGAGTATGAGCAGATTTACAGTATGTGGGCACAGGGAGGGATCTCACTTGATGAAGTCGAGGCCAAGTACGGAGCGAATGTTCGTGAACTCATCGAGGTGCAATTTGTCGCAGTGTCCGGTGGATTCGATACACAGGTTTGAGCTCACAGGGGACACAAAGTCGCCTGGTCCTAGGGACCTTCTGCAAGCTTCATGCAGGCGGAAAAAGGTGCTTAAAAAAAAAAAAAAACCTCAGGCCTTGACCACCCGCAAGCCCAGAGTTCCAATCAGGGATGCTAGACTCCCGGGGGTGCGGGTCAACAGCGGAGATGGTGAAGATCTAGAGATGACCAACAGCTTGATGGTGATGATGGTCAAGAAGTTTAAGATGAAGATGAAGATGATAACGGCAGAGTTGCCTTCATGTGTCAACGTTGGGGGCATGGTGCTGGCACTTGTGACGACAGCAATGGTGGTGCTGCTAGGGCTACTGCCGCTGCTAGGCTACCGCTCCGACCTCGGCTCTTGCTCCTTCTCCGACTCCTGCCTTCTCCTGCTGTTCCTCCAGCAGTCGCAGCTACTGCTACTCCTGCTGTCACTGCTGCTGCTGCTGCTGCAACTGCTACTGCAGCCGCTGCAGCTGCTGCTGGCACCTACCGATAGGACTCCAGCAGTGCATCTCGGAACGTCATCAACATCAGCAGCTGCATCACGGGCGATGGCTCTTCCACCCCAGGCGCAGGGGATCATGAGGTCACCGTCTCATCCGCGGCAGACTGCCACACCTGTCGGATTAGTATAACTTTTAGCATAGTTTTGGAATAAACTACACTGTATCCCAAAGTAGTACGGGGAATCATGTCAGCCCCTATGTCAGTCTGTCTTTGAACGGTATCGCAGTCGTGCTGTCGTTCTAGTCTAGGAGGAGTTGGAAAGATGACTCAATCCGAATGCCGTGGTTACCAGGGCTTCCTCCGAACCCCAACAGCCTCATCGCCCAGTGATCGTATGATGTAGGGGCCTTAATAACTAGAATGGGTTTTGGGCACCACTATACTATAGTTGTAATAAGGAGCCCCCAAAATAGTATAGGTAAGGGCTTGCATAATTACCAATACTAGTTTGGCCTCCCCGAGGCGGCTCGGACAATCCACACAGAACAGAATACTAGTTTGGGGGTTCCTTATTCTTGTCATGGTATAGTATGCCTCAAAACCCTATAGCTTTTACAGCCCTTGTATTCATGCGAGGCCATAAGGAACCATCCTTGTGGCCTGGTGTCACGAGGCAAAATCAGCACCTAAGGCGTTACTATAGGGGAAATCATTGCCAATACTACTTTGGGGCTTCGTGGTTACAATTATATTTTAATGGCCCGCAAAACCCTATTCATATTATCAACGCCCCTAAATTAGCCATGCGTTCTGACTCTGAAGGCAAGGCCATCAGCTTGAACGCCTCCATCAATGCCGAGCCCCCGAAGCGCGCCCCCACGGCGACTCAGCTAAAAGCATGTTGGCCTACATCGAGTTGTTATGGACTTAGGAAATTTAGTAAGGGCGGAATCCTACAAACTCAACGCCGGACAACGAGTGTTTCGTGAACCCAAAACCCGTTCGATACGGATGTTTTCTGTAAAAGTGCCTCTGAGGAGTTATGCTACATGATACTATCATCTATTCTGTTATGCTATAAGTGTTGTACCAATCTGAGAGGGAAGGTCTGCAACATGTCCCGCACATGCCAGAGCCTTGCAGAGCCTTTCTAGGGCCTTTATAGTAGAAGCCAGACAGTCAGAACAACGTTATCCCCATGCCTCTGAAACCCCAAACCTAAAACCCCCAAACCCTCGACGCTAAACCAGATAGTAGCCCTTATGGGAACCCTTCTGCGAGAGTATTTTTCGGACTCCTCATTGAAGACTTGGTGCTATATGACTCCCTCGGCTCCCTTGAACATATGATCGTATACCGTAGAAGCCAGACCCTTGGAACAACGTCATCCTCATGCCCTTCAGGTAAAGCATAGGGGATCCCAGCACTAGGCATCCTTAATCTATGTTCCAACTTTCTGGGGTTTACTATAAGGAATACCACCCTGAACCTTCTCAGCCACAACCTGCAACCCCCAGTCCCCAAACCCGAAGCCCCAAAACGTAAAACCTTGAAAGCCTGTCCCCTCGATGAGGGAAACGAAAAGTTCACCTTTCAGATTACATAATGATCAGAGTACGCTTCGTGCCTAGAGCCACCCTTAACCCTGGATCCCTAGACCCCTAATAGGCCCTATACCCTAAACCCCGAAGCCTCAACCCGAAACCCAAAACCCTACAGACTAAAACCCCAAAACTATTAAGCCCAAAACCCCAAAACCTTAAACCCTAAAAAGACCTCAAAACCCCAAAACCTTAAACCCTGAAACCCTCTCTGAACCCCTAAGCCTCTAAACCCTAAACCCTGAACACCCAAAAGCTCTAAACCTCTAAAGCCCTAAAACCCTCAACCCAAAAACCCTGAAACCCAAAACCTTAAACCCCGAAAGCCTGGGGGTAGCTTTGAACAGTGAAGAGACCTTGGTGGAGAGCATTGTGAACATGGTGCATCTGAACGACCTGATGGTGAGCTGGGACGCACCTTCGTGAATTAGATTCTACTTGCGAGGGGAAAGCGGCGTTTGAAAAACCTGAAGCCCTCAGCCCTTAACCGAAAGACTTCTTTAAAGCAACTCCTATAGAAACCTCATGGGAAAACTTCTAGCAACCCCTACAGACCCCTTTAAAGGAAACACCGAAAAAAGTCAGAGCAACGCGAGGCCGAAGAGCAGGCGACGGCTGCACTGTCGGCCATGCTCGGCCTTGGCAAGCCGAAGGCGCTTCCCTTGGTTCAGGTTTAGGGGTTCCGGGGGGCTCCTTTAAAGGGGTCTAATTATGCGGTTTAGGGTTAAGGATTTAGGGTTTAGGGATTAGGGTTTAGTTGCTCTGGGATTCCGTTAAAGAGGTCTGTAGAGGTTATAATATAGGGTTTAGGGGATTGGGGTTTATTAGGGGTTTATTTAGGGGTTATTCAGGGGTTTGGGGCTTTGGGGTTTAGGAGTCAGGGCGTCGCTCATTTTTGAGCTTTACAGGGTTGTTATTGTTTTTGTCTGGTGCTTAGAGGGTTTTGGTGCTTATAGGGTTGCGTGGGTGTTTTTAGTTGTTGTTAAAGGCTTTTTGGTCGTGTTGTAAACGGATTTTACAGTTTTCTTGCGTTTGTTTACAATGATGCGGTTTAGGTTTTCGGCTCTTTGATTTAGGTTTTGGCTCCTCTGCTTGATTTTCTTGACTTTTGGGTTTAGTGTGCTTGGCTGTTGGGTTTAGTTTTGAGGCTCTCGGGCTCAGGGGTTTTGGCACTTGGGATTAGTTTTTTAGCTCTGACTTGGGTTTAGGGTTTAGGGTTGAGGGTCTACGCCGTATGGCTCGTCTTTTAGGTATTGGTTTTGCCATCGAGTTTTCTGGCTTTCCCTAAACCCTAGCCATGAACCTTGCAGCCCTAAACCTTCAGACCCACACTCGCCACTCGCCGGCCTCCTCACCATCAGGGTTCACAGTTTAGGGTTTAAACCAGACTCATTACCGCAACAATCTATTCTTAACCACCCTCTTCTCATATTCAACTGTGTGATGTTGTCTACCACAGCTGAAATTTTTGGTATTCGTGTTTTCGCCATCGTCGTCACCTTCTTCAGCATCGTTATTCTCGCCACCGCCAACATCGTCCTTGCCATCTTAATCACCCTTATCTTATCGTTTTCATCGGTAGCTTCATCGTCAACATCATCGTCAACACCATGCGCGCCAATGTATTTGTATCATCCTCAACTGTATCACCCGCGCACCTCAAGACCCTAAAAGCAACACCAGCTGCGTCTTTGCACGAATATTGTTCTTGGCAAGTTCCTTCTTGCATGCTCAAGGACACCTGCTTTTGAGATTGGAAGAATCCGTATTACTGTTCGCTCAAAGTCCCTATATGATTACGGTAGTGAGAAGACACCCCCGACCACCCCCGTAAAAAAATAATACATGCTGATTGTTAAGGCCCCTATATTACATGTTAATGTCAGCATCCGTACTTGAAGGTTCATGGGACTTAGTAACTATGGTTGTAAATAAGGTAACTATACTTATTGGATACAACCCCAGTTAGGGTAGTTATAACTGTACTTACTAAGTCCCATGAACCCCCCAAGTAGAAGACTCTGTGTGTTATCCGGGCTGGCTCGGCCCGCGTGGCTCCTACCCCAATTACCGAAAGATCCCTTGATGAGGGAACACCTTAAATCATATTAGTGAGCCTACTGCATTTTAAGGTATATTCCTTAACGAAGGAATGTTACCCCAATCACCCGAAGTGCCCTCACACACTTTAAGCCACAAAGTCCTCAAGCACTGCAGCCCTCCCGTAAACCCTTAAACCCTAAACCCTTAAACCCTAAACCCTAAACCCTAAACCCTAAAACCCTAAACCCTTAGCCCTTAAACCCTTAAGCCCGATAGACCCTAGAGCCAGAAAGCCCCAAGCCGCATGAGGTGAAGGTGGCGCCCACGCCACCCCCACGGTCCTCTTGGAGGCTCTCTTGGGGCAACGGCCAGAAGGGTCGGGTTCAGGCTTTTTGGGGTATTAGAGTTTGGGGTTCCTTTTAAAGGAATCCTGAAAGACCCTAAACCCTAAACCCTAAACCCTAAACCCTAAACCCTAAACCCTAAACCCTAAACCCTAAACCCTAAACCCTAAACCCTAAACCCTAAACCCTAAACCCTAAACCGTGATATCTATGGTAGGGTTCATTTTGGGGGCCTAGAGGGTTTCGGGCCCCCTAGGGTTTCGGAGTTTGGGGTTCATGGTGGAGGGTTTAGGGCTTCAAGACTGCTCGGTTCAGGGTTTAGGGCTCCGGGGTTTGGACGGCCCGACGGTTTTGGTGGCATAGGGTTTTAGGGTTTTAGGGTTTTAGGGGTTTTAGGGTTTTAGGGTTTTAGGGGTTTAGGGTTTAGGGTTTTAGGGGTTTGGGGCTTCAGGGTTGTAGGTTTAGGCTTTAGGTATTTTTGGTTCCGGGTGAGTGTTTCGGAGGCAACAAACTCTCAGAATGTCAGCATGCACGACGGGATGTCTCCTCAGCAAAAGTCT